ATTGCTCTTGGGTTCTTGATTTAAAATGCAAACTAAGATGGTGCAGGACACAATGGACTCCTATCAAGGATATACTGAGATTCGTGTAGAGAAGCGAGAGAAAATTTTATTGATAACCTTTGACAATCCAAAAAAGCGCAACAGCATCAACAGAAATGGATACAAAGAACTTGGCAGAGTGCTGCGGGAAGTGGCCGACGACAATGAAGTGACCATAGTGGTTTTCACTGGGAATGGAGATTACTTTACATCGGGAAACGACTTAACTCAATCAGCAAATTCTTCCTCGGACATTGAGCTGTACATCAAAGAATCAAATAATATATTTAAAGGAATGATAAGGGCTTTAATTGACTGTCCTAAACCAACATTATCGTTGGTAAATGGACCATGCATTGGCGTTGGAGCAACGCTAACAGCATTATGCGACATAGCGTGGTGTTCATCAACGGTAAGCAAATTTTTCGCCACCTATTGACTGAGGAAAAAATTGTATTTTAAACTTTTTAGGCTTATTTCCTAACGCCGTTTACTAAATTGGGGATTGTACCGGAAGGATGTTCTTCGTATTTGTTCGCATTAATACTTGGACGGTCAAAAGCGAGCGAGATGCTGTTGATGTCAGAAAAACTGACTGCTGAGGAAGCTTACCATTATAATTTCGTATCAAAAGTTTTCGATTTGACTGAATTGGATACGGTTGTTTGGCCAAAGATTATTGAATTCTCAGAATTGCCTCCGGATTCATTAAGAGTTTCTAAATCGCTTATGCGGTTAAATGAACGAGATGTCTTGTATCGTACATTGGATGCAGAAAATGAAGAACTTTACAAACGATTTTTCTCTGAAGAGTTTGCCAACGCTGTGATAGCTTTTGCAACGCGGAAAAAGAGATCCAAATTGTGAAATGTGGCAATGATCCAAACATCTTAAAATTGCACAAATCTGTGTACAAAAGTTGCGCCTTTGAAAATTTGTAACCTAATCATATTTAATTTAAAAATTTCAGTTGCCGTGTCTCACAGCCTTAAAATATTGTAGAATGGAAATATTTAGCTGTAAATGTATGCGCAATTTGAATTTCAACCGTGAGCGTCCAGGCTAAATAAAACAAAAATATTTAATGTATTTAATATTGGAATAAAAGTTTTAATGTAAGGTTAAAATAATATTAGCTTTTAAATAAATGTGCCTCATTTTTCATTCTCATTTTTTATAAATTTCATCTTAAATCCGTCGAAATACGGATGCTCAAGAATGTCTTTAGCTGAAATGCGATGAACCGGATCATAGATAAGCATTTTTTGAATCAAATCTACACCTCGATCGTTCAAATTTTTCAACTGGTTCGTTAGCTGATTTGTCGACCAACAAGGAAAAGTATTTTTATAGTCTGGTAAAGATGTCACCCCAGGCCAAGTTTCTTCAGTTGGAGTTTTCAAAATTCTGAATATTCGGAAAAGCTGGTCAATTTCCGAATCACCTTGGAAAAGCGGTTTTCTTGTAGCCATTTCAGCAAATATGCAGCCAATGGACCATATATCAACTGGGCAAGAGTATCGCTGAGAACCCAGCAAAACTTCTGGTGCCCTGTACCAAAGAGTAACAATTTCATGAGTGTATATGCGAACTGGAATGCCGAAAGATCGACCAAGTCCAAAGTCCGCCACTTTTATGACGCCCTTTTTATCTATAAGTAAATTCTGGGGTTTCAAATCGCGATGAAGGACTCTGCGACGGTGGCAAAATAGAATTGCATTTGTTATTTGGTATAAATAACTTCGCACCAATTCAGTTTCCATTGACTTCTCTGGTGGCAACGAATCCATATATTTCTTCAAATCCATGGACAGGAACTCGAAGATCAAGTACAATCTATTTTCTTCCATTAGAACGTCCTCCAAGCAAACAATGTTCGGATGTTTAAGCTCTTTTAACAGCGATATTTCTCTTATAGCCGTGGATGGTATACCTTCATCGTCAGACTCCAGGCGGATCTTTTTCATGGCTACTATTTGCCCTGTGACACGATTGCGACCCTTGTACACCACGCCATATGTACCCTCGCCAATTTTTTCTATTTTCTGAAAGTCTTCCATATTTTGCGTTTCA